TGCCTTACCTGTGACCATGTGAGTTTGTATCCCTCTTGTGTTTGTATTACAGATCTGGAATGTGTAGGCAAGTGTGTGTGTGTGTCTGTGCGTATAAAACATTGCCGGTAACCTGACACCTCCACAGCAAACCTGTTAATTAGCATATTTTTTTTCAAGTTTCTGTGTGTGTGTTTGCATGTATGTGTATATTTCTTTTTAAAACTTTATTGAGTTGTATATTTGATACAGAATAAACTGAACATAAAGTGCCCACTTTAATAAGTTTTGACATTTGTAGTCACTATTATCATCATAATCGAGGTAATGAACATATGCATTCCCCCAAAGTTTCCTCACACCTTGGAAATCCTGCCCACTCCCAAGGCAGCCATTCAGCTATTTCCTGTCATAGAGTGGTGTGTATTTTCTAGAGTTTTACGTGTGGGTTTTGTTTTTTAGCATGAGATTATTCAGTTTTGCGGTTTCTCCCTTTTCGTTTGGCCCAACTTAAGAGTAGTGAAACTGTACTTTGACACAACGTTCATTGCTGTTGGTATTTCTTCAGTGAGTGGCTGCTGCTTCTCATTATTGTGCTGGTGTTTTAATGTTTTCAATTGGTTTGAATGAGCTGTCTGTCAGTGTGTTTTTCATCATTGTGTGTTCTCCAGTTTGTATTGTTTTCCTTTATAATTTTAAATTATTTTAGACGTACTGAAGTTTTGTTTTTGAATAATCGAGTTTGGCAGCATTTTCCTTCATGAGGCAGGATACATGTATGAATGAGTTAGGGAATATGAATTACCTTATCCTATTTTGATTGCCTTTCCACTGAAAGTTTACATGTGGTAGAGTTTGGGAAAGGAGGGTAATTGCATGTGACTACTTGGTAATGTGTATTTTCTCCAGAGTTTCTAGCTGGTAGTTAATAAGCATTGCTGATAAGTTGCTGAGCGTTTCTATTGTCAAATGTCCTAGGTAGGAAGGTTGCAGAAACTAGTATGCTTGAGTTACTGTCCTTGGATAGCTTTACTATCTCTTGGCTCACGTTGTAGGTAGAGATTTAACGTTTGAAATTGTTTTCTGTTTTCTTCTAGGTCTGCCTGGCTTTGTGGAGGAGCTGCAGTACTGCCCCACTTTATAAGGGATGGGATCAGAGAACAGTGCTTTAAAGAGTTATACGCTGAAAGAACCACCATTTACCTTACCTTCTGGACTTGCCGTCTATCCCGCTGTACTGCAGGATGGCAAATTGGCTTCGGTTTTTGTGTATAAGAGAGAAAATGAAGACAAGGTTAATAAAGCTGCCAAGGTACCATAATAGGTGACAACTTAATAGTTAGTACTTTTTACTATCTTGTTTTCTATTTAAAAAAATGAGATTAGTAAAAGTTAAAAGGAGGTAAGGTCATAAGTAGTAATATTTTTATTATTCATGCCTTTTAGAAACATTGCTGTTCTGACTTCATGGGTATATCTCCAGCTTGCATGACACAGTCAGGTACCATAGCTATTGCCAAAAGACTTCATAAAACTTGATGTAATGGCATTTATCATCGTACTTTATTTATTTATTTTTTTGGTAAGAAAATTAAACAATCTTAAATGGCCAGTATAAGATAAAAGGAGTTAATCTAGCTTAGCAAAAATGTTAGTATAGACAACATTTTAAATAGTGAGTTGATGATGGGCTTGCAAGTAAAATGTTTTAGGAACTTCACTGTTTTTTTCTTTTCCTGAGACATTGTGATGCCCCAGAAAGAGGACTAAACTAGAATGCTGGGCCAGATGCCCCATAGAGAATGCAGAATTAAAATGCTCACCCTTGCTGCAGTGCCTTCCATCACTAACTTTTGGAGGCTTCACTTTCCTTCTTAGGAAAAAGGTCTTTTTAGTCAAACCTTGTAGCTGCTGCTTTGGGCAAAGGGTACCAGGGTGTTGGCATGCTGTTAGACACATGATCAGAGGACCCTGGCCTCTTTTTAGAAAAAACAATGCTGCTTTGGAAAATAGTTCAGTAAAATAGAATTTTTGAATTAGAAAACACCAAGGCATTATTTGGTATTTCAACTAATACTTAAACTAATTTGATTTTACTGGATAGCTAGCACTTTGGATAGTCAGTCATTCAGATCATCTTCTAAAAAGGAAAATACCATTGTATTAATTAATTCTTAGTGTTTACTGTGACAGGCACAATATTTTCAGGTTGAGTTTGGTATCTTTATCTTTGTTAGAGTCTATCTGTAATATTAACAGATTAACAGGTATGGGGCATTGATATAAATTTCATAGAGCTCTTTTTATTTGTTTTTTTGTTTTTGAGACAGGATCT